AGCTCCTGCACCATCTCTCTTCAGACAGCTTTCTGTGGGCAGTGAAGGCGGAGGTGAGGGAGGTGGCAGCAGGGTTTTCTTTTATGCACTGTGGCAAGACAGAGGTCTAGAATGAGCTTGGCCCAGCTTCAAGAATCAATCATACATGTATTTACTTTGGTTTCTTTACAGACTCTTCCTCTCCATCTGTTCATGGGCAAACGGCCCCTCAGGAGAGGAAACTGAACGGGCTGCAACATCCAAAGACAAGCGCGTCTCCTGGCACACCTGCTTCCCCGCAGCGCGCCTCCTGTGTGCACAGATGGGACTCCCACCATCCAGGACCAGACAGTGCCAGGTCTGTCCATCCATCACCAGCCATCCTTGCCATGCTGGTAATCTCTCTGGACCAGCATGCTGAATGCAGCTCTGTAGCAGGGTACTGGGATGTGCCTGTTCCTTTAAGGATGCAAGAAGCCTGAGAGAGCGGGGCAGGTGGCAGAGGGGAGCTAATGAGGGACCCACCTGATGGAAGAGGGCTCAGGCTGGAGCTATATAAGCCCAGAGCTTGCACTGGTCAGGTAGTCTCTCCCCAGAAACCAAGGAATAAGGAGCTCCTGGCTGCAGGGCACTTGGAGGGACTGGGATTTTGGTTAAACACCTCAGCAGGTCTGGGAGTGGAGGCAGGTTTCTTGGACTGCGAAAAACTGGATTTACAGGCAAGTGGCCTTCATTTATGTTAAACCCCCAGAGGAATTGAGAAGTCTTCCAGAGGGCAGTGATATTCTTATTCATTTGATTTAGACAGATCGTTTAGCTGTGAGCCCTGCTGGGGCAGACTCAAAGCCTATTTAGAGAACCAGTGACCCAGAAGCTCTCAGACTGAGGGTGGGCCCCAGTGAGGAGCCGAGGAGCCTAGAGAAAAGCTGAAACCCCAAACCAGAAGGTCCAAGAGCCCAGGGAAAGCTGGACCCATGGCAGGAAAGAGCACTGGGGTCAAATGACCCCAGCAAGGTGTTCATCTAACCTCCACTTAAAGACCCCCAGGGTAGGAGCCAGCGCCACTTCTCTTATATCTCTGTTCCAGGTCCTAGCCGCCCTGACAGTGAAGTAGCGCCTCCTGATGTCTAGTCTGAATCTACCCTCTGCCAGCTTGTGGCCGTTATTTCTAGTCACTCCTGGTAGTGCTCGGGGGAACAGGGCAAATGCAGAGCCGTTCCTGGTGGGGCTGAATCTAGGCAACTGACCCAGGCCCTGTGCTTTCAGGCCCACCCCCCGCGGAGCTGGACAGAGGGGCTGTGGCCCCTCCTGCAGGGCTCGCCTAGTGCTGGTGACCGTGTGCTTCTCTTTCAGCATGGGCCATCTAAGATAGGTTTTCCTGTTTTCTTTTCTCCTATACAGAAATGTAAGCAATTTGACTAGTTGAAAAGACAGAACAAAAACAGTTAATGGAGTAGAAGGACACTGGAATATGTCTTTATCAGGAGCTCTGGAGGTTCATACAGCAATTATATAACATTTTACTAATGCTCTAAATTAAAGTATCGCCAGGATATTTTCTTTAGATTAAAAATTAAAACCAAATATGTTTGCATAGGGGAGGATAGCAGCCAAAAGCAAAAAAAGACTTACTATTTTATTGCTACTTTGCAAAATTTCATTTCGGACTGATTTGCACCCTGCTAGGGTTGTCTCTGGGCAAATGTGTGTTCTGTTTATTACCAATCTAAACTATGCTGCTTACAGAAAACTACCTAACTTAGATTGATTCTGCCTTGGGCTTTTTGAATGTCTGTACCTAGCCCATGAGCCTGTCATGAGCTGTTTGCAAGGAGTCCAGAAAGGGTAAGGGCAAATCAAGAAGAGTTCTGAAAAACATTAGGAGGGTAAGTCCAGCTTTCTTAGCATTGTGGGTGGAGCGCAGAGGCATGGTGAGACGGGGAGGGAGGCTGGCGTGGGCTTGGCCGGCGCCAGAAAACTGCTCGGCTCCCCAGCCCCAACGCCACATACCTCCTCGCTCCCAGAGGTGAGGCAAGGTGGGGCTGGGGCTGGGAACCTGCTCCGCTCCTGCCTGGCTCGGCAATTGGCTGCGAGGGGACCCTGGGTGCCCCCCCAGACTCAGGAGGCACCAGTCACCAAGCTGGGGGGTGGGTCCCCCATGTGCTCTGTGGCAGACCTGGAAATGGACCAGAAGCACTTCCGGTCCACTTCCAGGTCCGCCACAGAGCACATGGGGGATTTCGCGCGCTCCCGTGGGATGCTCCATCCGCCCCACCATCTCAGCGTTCACAAGCCGCCTAGTACCTTAAGGTAGGTAGAAAAAACATTCAAAGCTGTGACTATGTCTTAACCATCGAATCTCTCTGAATCGATTTTGGAGGGTTCCGATTCGATTTGGAGAGATTAAAGAGTCTCCTGATTCAATTTGGATTCGGAGATTTGGCCGCCGAATCTCCGCCGAATCAAATCAGTGACCGAAGCTTCACACAGCCCTACTGCTCAGCTACCCCTCTGGCACTGTCTGCTGAAAGAGCCCTGCCAGTGCTCTCAATCGCCTGCCTGCCCCCAACCCCCATCATGGTTTAAAGCAGGGCATTCCAGGACCCCTGCCACATGGGCAGTGTCCCCCCCAACCCATGTCTCTGCCATTTGGGCAGTGTGAACCCACCACCCCTTTTGCCCCACCTTCAACGACCACCGCCCTTCCTCGTGATGCCACTGTGCAGCCAGCACAAGTTGCATTCTCCCTGCCCACAGCTCAGGCAGTGTGGTCACTAGTCCTACTCCTGCTGCATTGCTTTGCTGCAAAGACCATGGCAGCAAGAGCAATGAAAGCAACCAGGGCATGTTATTTCCTTACAGACCAGATACAGCCTGCAGGCTGCCAGTTGGACAGCTGTGGTCTAATACAGCGCACTGGCCAGGACAATGTTCCAGAAGATCTAAGCGCAGCCCCCTCTCCTCTCTGCTGGGCCCATGAAATGTGCACGTGTCCACACATACACATCACTGTGACCAAGCTTTAAGCAGCCTTTTCTGTACAGGCAGCAGAGACAACCTCTTCCTGGAATGACTCATGAAGCAAAGAGAAAATATCCTCCTCCCAATCATGGCCAGGCTTGTTTAGCTGGTGGTCTCTGCCTGAGCTGAACTTCCCAGCCAGTCTCCCCCTGTGTGGGTACTGAGATGCACTGTGAGCTGTGGTTTAGTTCTGTGGAGACAGCAGTCCTCGTGGGGACTTCATTTCCTGCCTGGGTGTCTCTGCTGCCTTCACACACAAAAAGGCTTTGAAAACACATTGTTGCCTGCTCAGCTCCATCAGCCCACAGGGAAAGAATGGTTTGACTTTGCCATTTCTTTCCCTGCCACCCTCCTGATCAGAATGGAGAGCTGCTGTGGCCTTGCTTCCCCTCTCCTTGGGTATGGAGCCAACACTCTTAAATAGGAGTCGTATGAGAGGACCCCAAAGTGACTCCTCCTTGACAGCTCAGACCCTGTCCTGAGCTAGGACCAAAAAGAGAGGAGGGAAGAATTCCAAACTGTCCAAAGCAAGATGTCCACTTTAAAACTCCCCAGTTTGTGCTTGTAAATGAGGTTCTAGGAAGAATCCAAGCCAGGCCCCAAATCCAGCATAACCAAGCTTTGCAGTGTGTTGCAGCTGAGCCAGCTCTGAACTGGGATGCAGGCATTTGGGCCAATGTTTTAAAAACTGGCCTGTGATTTGGTGTGACCAGTTTCATGCCCCCTGAACTTAATGGGCAGTGGTATTTGCCACCCACAACAGATAAAATCATCACCAACAGGAGGTGCTCAGCCTTTCTGAAAACTGAGCCCAAAATATATCCTGTGGGACACCCATAAACCCATGTCCTCCACCCTGTGCAATGGGTCAGTGTGCGAATAGCAGGAATGGCTGAGGGCAGATGGAGCCACCATTCCTCTCTCTCTCTCTCTCTCTCTCTCTCTTTTTTTTTGGTGCTTTTCTGATGCCTTGGCAAGAATCTCCACCATAAAGCCAGCTTTGGAGCTAGAGAAAGAGAAGCTTTCAGAAGGATTCAAGGCTTGAAGCATGGAAAATTGTGTATGAGGTGCACTGTTTGAGATAGGGCTGGAGTCAGTAGAGGGATGAGTGCATTAGATAAATGCTGTCATTTTCCTTGGGCTACGACTGGAGGTGCTGCCAGCACAAATGCCCCCAGCTGCCCTTTGACAGGCAAATGCTTTTTGGAAGCTGAGGTTAGGGAAAGTTGAAGAGGGAAGCGTTCTTCTTTGTCATGGATTTATATTGCAATGCAAAACCCTCAGGAGTTCAGAGAAGAGGCCAATAATAAGAAATGTTCTCTTCTTCCCACTGGAGATCTTGGCTGCGGGCTGAGAAGGGAGAAGGAGGGTTGGACCTCTTCCATATGGGAAATACATTCACATGAAAGAACATGACCTGCTTTGACAGCATCATCAGACTCCATCAAAAAATCACCATTTGCAGAGCTGGGGGGGAGCCCAAGGTTGGGGTAGCAGGGGACTGAGGGTTGGGTTGAGGGGCACCAGCAGATCTGCAGGGGTGTCCAGTACTGGAGTAGCTGGTGGACAGTGGTTGAGATTGTTGGTGCAGTCACAGATCTCTGCATGTGGGAGGGGAGCTCAGGCCTAGAGCAGCAGTTGGGAAGGAGGAAACTAAGTGAGATCACAATGAAAGGAAATAACCAGTTCCCCATTTGATCAGAGCACTACTCTGTCTTTCCTG